AGTCACTTGAAGAGAGAAAATGTTGCTCTCATTTTTGTGGTTGGACTTTTCTTTCATTGTTTTCTCTTTTTGGCGTTATGTAATTCATATAGCAAATGCTGCTATGAATGCAACAATAAATAAGTTGATGGCTGTCTTCTGGGTTGTAGCGCCATGCAGTCTAGTAGAAATTTACCAATGTTTTAAAGGGCACTCTGATGATGGAGGCAGCGGTTTGGAAGATAGCCATCTTCAGACTCACTGCGGTGTAAACCTCAAATCCTACTTAATGAATAAGTCCTTTGTTGGTGAATAAATGACAGTTATTGGTATTTTCCATTCTGTTGAGACATGATGGAATGGTTTGTGCAAAATTTTTGTGGCCTTAAATAGAAAATAAGTTTAATGCAGTTTCTTCCTTAAGAAAATGGTGTTTGCCCAGCTTCCAGGTTTTAGATGAGAGAGTGTGTTGGTTGTGTCGATATAGGAGCCATTCACTTTCCTGGGAAGATAAGATGTTGGGCTACATCAGTGTAATCAGTGTTTTCTATGTATGGGGAGTATCATGAAATATCTGTGTTTAACAAGTGATAGCTTTCTCTCCTGGTGGAATACATTGCACATGTTTGTGTTTTGCTTGAATGTCTGTATATTCTAAGAATAGTCTCTTACTGCTTGATATTTCAAATTTTTCAGAGTATGATATTAAGGTTTATACCTCTCAGTTTAGATGATCGAAGAAAAAGTCTAGATAATTCAACTCATTGCTTGAGTGAGGGGGTGAGTGTTTGAAATGCATGCTTTTACTTGGCTTGGTTTGAATGTTTGCTCAGCTCCCACTTAATCTACTTCCCATATGTTTGTAGCATGATTAGTAATTTCTGACAAAAGCCAGTACATTTTGATTTGAGGTTTTGTAAAGTTTGGTTTATTACTGACTGATAGAGACTGATATTAAATTCACTCAGCAACTTTTAATGTAGACTTTTCTAATACCACAATTCATTAGATGTGACCACCAATTATCAGTATGATACTTGTGGATGGATGGACAGATTATTATGCATTCTTTTCATATACCTTTTTCAAATAACACATAAGAGGGGAATCATATCAGCTCACTAGAGTGTACTGGTATAGCACAACTAAAAATTATGATTCCCTGGTGGATCATGATATATTAATCTGTTCTGGAGAATATGAATACTTGCTGTATGTTGTATGTGACATCTGTTTTTTGCTTGTTTGACAACTTCTGTGTGAAGAACATGCTTTGTATATGTTATGTAAACTGTGCACTGCCATTAATTTAAAATATTATTTAAAACAGGTGTATCGATTTTAAGTTCCTTGATTCCTTGCTGTTAAGTTTCTTTATTGAGGTTAGTAATCAGGAAGAGTTTTAGGCATGAAAAATTGCATTGCAGAAACAAGAAATTTAACTGAGGAACAGAAAATTTATCTGAATTTTTAAAGAGAAGAAAATTCAGATTAATAACTTTCATGTTCAATGATGGCTGTCTTCTGGATTGTAGCACTATGTAGTCTGGTAGAAGTTTCTCAACATTTCAGAGGTCCTTGCTACCTCTATCATCAGGGCAATGAGTAACTCTGATGATGGAGGCAGCAGGGATCTCTGAAACTTTGGTAAACTTCTACCAGACTACATAGTGCTACAACCCAGAGGACAGCCATCTTCAGAGTCTCTGCTGTGAAAACCTCAAATTCAACTTCCATGTTGATTGGTGTGTTGTCTCCATCAGTATGTAGCTTGTAGCTGCAATAATTAAATTATCTTCTAGCTTTCTGTGGAATGCCTACCAAAAAATCAGTTGCTAATGGCTTGTATGTTATTACTGCCAGAGTTAAATTATTGGTGCTCTTGAACTGCATAACAGTTGAACTGGACTTCAACTCTAATTTGTTTTTTACATTCCATGTGCTGGATAACTTATAGCTTACAGGGCAAAAGCAGAGAAGGTTAGAATTAAATCAGTTTTTTAGTTGCTATACTTATGTATTAGTTGCCCCTTTGTTTGTAGAAGTAAAGCTTTAGTAAGCTGAGGTTCATTGACTCTAAATGGTGGAGCCATCACATGTAGTTACTTATGTTGTATAAAGTCTGTATTAATATGTATGGGTTTTAGGATTTTTGTCGATCGTTATTTTATGCTAGATAGAACAGTGTTTTGGAAACTGGAGTTGTTTATACCTTTTGGTAAAAAGATGGTTAGGTATCTACTCACTTGGATCTGTTAAACAGAGCTAATGTCAGTGAGATTTCTGCTTCTCATGGCGTTGTCTTCTGGGATATTGTACCATATTTCTCTGGTAGATGTTGACAGATGCTTTAGAGGAGCTTATGCCTTTTATCATCAAGGTGGTGTAATAGGAGGATGGTAAAATTGCATAATGAGGAACTTCATAATTTGTTTTCTTAACCTAACATCATTATTACTATTATTATTATTATTATGAGGATTTAATAATGAATGATTCAGCAGCTAAACCAGTAAACGTTTTTCTTCATTATCATGTTTCTTAATTGTTTTGTGATTTGTTTGTATATAACCTCTGCATTTGAAACAATGTCATAAGCTGACAAAATTCTTGTCTAGGAGACGCTTGAGGTTTGGTATGGCATACAGGATGGCTTGGTCCATAGTAAAAACTCATTAGAAGAAAAGTCTTAGACTGTATGATAAATCTTATAGTATGTAAGCATTTATTTTGTAGGGGGTTTGTGACTCAGATTTGTTCTTCTATGATGTTGCTTAGATTTATAACCAGAGCTTTATCTTCCAGCACAATGCACTACGTGCCATTTGTCCTGCAACAGTGAACATTATTATGGGCATTGTGTCGCACTCTAAAGCAAATGCAGTTGTGAGAAAAACTGGCATTCATTGTTTTGTTATGATGGTTCAAGTGCTGAAAAAGTCTTTGCCTGACCAGGTTAGTACATGTAACTAGTTCTGACAACACTTCACACTATAAGAAATAAATTTTCCTTGTATTCAGCAAATGGAAAAATATTTAATATGAAATTTGTATTCCTTAAACATATAATGTTTTTATATACAGACATTTTGTATGAAGAGCTGTTTTTTGAGAAAAAACTATATAATATTTTACTTGAGCTTCATGTAAAATAGATCCAATATGAACCAAAATTAAATTAACTGATAATTATTTTATTGTAGATCCTACAAATATAAAATGTATTATATTGTAGCTTAGTAATTTTGGTGATATAATATGTGGGCAGATGGATGTGTCCACACAGTGTGAGAACCCAGAAGACCAACATCAACATATTCACCGCCATGAGAATCTCAGATCTTGGATAAAGTTTGTCAACCCTATGAAGGACTCTGTATGTGCTTACACAGGGTGTGGTATATTAGACAGAGTATAGATGTGACCCCTCCACAGTGCATTAACTTACACTTTGTGCATAGAACACACAATATATTATCAAAATAATCTTTTTTAAAAAAGTGTACATGGTGGGACCCCTGTTGTCGTGTTTCTTTGAGGGACAGCAAACACTGATGTCATGAAATGCTGAATTTCAGAACTTTTTGACAGTGAGACAGGTACATGAAATTTGAGATTCTCATAGTGGTAAGGATGACAGTGTTGTTGCTCTGGGTTGTGACACTGTGTAGACTCACAGATAGATACCAGTATTTTGGAGAAACCTGCTGTCTTCACTTTCAGCCCTGAAGTTGGATATAGCATGTTTCTCCAAAATGTTGGTATCTGTGAGTCTACACAGCGCCACAACTCAGAATAACAACATAATCAGTGAGGTAGGTGGGCTGTGAACCCAAAAAATGAACTCCAAACAGGCAAAAAATTTGGGGCAGTCAAGTATTTGTGCATCCTGAGTTTTATTGTTACACAGAGGCAGATTGAAGTTGGGACCATCATCCAGTTATACCAGGACTCACTGATGGAACTAGTTACAAATGAATGGCATGAAAAGTCATCACAGACTCTGTGTGAGTTAGTGAGTGCACTGCGCTTGCTACTGGCTGACTCATGTATGCAGGAACACATCCAGCAAGTGATGGTGGATAATCACATGCTGGACACTATTATCACCATCATTGAGGAGAGTGTGGTAAGTACCTGGAACTTTATGGTTCTGTCTTTGGCAGAAAACAGAAGCCACAGGCACACTGGTCAGTTGTGAATGGATGCTGTTACCATGAGATTATAACACATCACTTTAAAATTACAAGTGTAAAATTAAAATTATTGTTTTTTCAGAGATTTTCATTCGAGAAACAAGTGCTGGCTTCAGAATGTGTCAAAACTCTGACGTCAATGCTAATTGGTAGTTCTGTAGGAAAGGTAAGCTTATTAAACTTGTTTTGTTGTTCTCTGTATTTCCAGCAGCCCATTTGGTTGTGTACAAGTTAAAACCATTCTTAGATTTAAAGGTTATGTTTCACTGTTTCAATGAAATTCCAAGAAAAGTGAATTAAACACCAGATCTAGAATATCATGTAATGAGATACTTCATGATAATATTAATCCTTATTTTTGTTAGTGTGAGATACTTCATGATAATATTAATCCTGTATTGTATTTTTGTTAGTTAAACAAAGGAAGCTACAGTACACTGAACACATAGTTTGAATAGCAGAAACAACAACCTTGTACATAATTTTGGCAAGGAAAGCACTAGAAAGACTGAGACATCTATGGGGATAGCAGTAATATGGATCTCTAGGAAATAGGTTTTGGCAATGTCATTTGGATGGAACTGGCTCAGGCCTGAAGTCAAATATTCTAGTGGCAGGCTTTTGCTTTAGGATTGTTAAGTCTGCCCATAAAGAGTGAGACTGTTGGTCAGTAGGTCAGTCAGCTGACTGATCAATTGGTCGGTGAGTTGTAAGTTTTGTGCGGGTTGTACTTGCAGGAAAGACTGGTGAAGACTTCCGGATATGAACGACTGTTCTCAGTTCTCAAAGGTGTTGGACCACCATCAAAGGAACTGCTTCATGCATTCCTTGCCATGGCAGCTGAAGAGGAGTTTTCTGAAGGGAGTAGACTCATGGTAATTAGCAGGTCCCAACAAATGCTCATGGAATGTCATGGCTGAGTGGTTAACACTCTTGCTTTGTAATCTGGAGGTTCCAAGTTAAAATCTTGGCCTAGATTCAGGCTATTCTGATTGAGGCTTTTTGTATTGATTTTAGTTTTATATAAATTTGAATTCTGTGTAAAATGTGTGTTGTGACTATACTGTTTAAGTAATTTTATAAGCATCATCAGTAATTTTACCTGATGGATCATGAAGAGGTGCAGATGTAAGATTTGAATATATGGAGAAATGATGTATATTTCTAGAGCTCAATTTGTTAATATGTATGCTCAGAAATTTTTGGAATTAATTTAAAATTCTTGAAGTTTGTAACTATATTTTTTATGTCATTACTGAACATCCTTTAATAGAATTTGTGTTCAACTTTATTAGTTTGTGCTACATAAATTATCTTTTAGATTTGTGGAATTGTTACAAATATGAAATGCAATTCAAAACTGGAGAACTCTTTGACAGATAAAGTGGATGCAGAAATTAAAATTTCTTTATGCTTTTGAATAAAACTAGAACTGGAGATTGTGTATGTATATTACTTTGTTTTTAATAACGAAGATCAGACCACTTCCTTCCCAGACCTTTATAGTTCACTATACATACACTGTTTATTTACTTGTGTTGTTAAATGCAAAGTAACACTTGCAATTTATACTGCATCATGAAGTAGACTGTGAACTGATCATTAATTACTGCAGTGCCAGTTAATTGTCAGAAGTATTTCTGTCATGACATGTCTTTTCAGATTTCACTTTGATGTTTCAGAATGCTGATGTGCTGCTGCCACTGTTGAGATTGCTTGGGGATTTGGATGAAGATGAACAACAGTGGCTTGCAGGAGCTTTCTATCAACTTAGCACATCGAACATTCCAAGGTACGTACTGAGTCCGTAGTTAATTTATTGATTCTTAATAGTAGGCATTAGCACTGAAGTTTATTTAGCAACTGATAAATAAAACCTCTTCTGACTGAAACTGTCTTTGCTTTCCTCAGTTGGTCTAGGTGAATGCTGGTGTAGTTTCTTTAAACTGCCTGTGGCTCTTCTCTCTGCCTTTTATATAGTCATTCTGTCATCTCATCTGTTGCTGAATTGCCTCTGCAGTTGATAAAGCTTGAAATAATCTTTTTTGCCTTGTATTACAGCAAGACTCTAGCATGTCAGCAAGGAGTCATCCTGGCAGTATGTGAGGCACTTGTGGGACACCAGAAGCTAAGTCAGAAAGCTGCCAATGAGCTGATAAAACTGCTGGAAGTACTGGCATCTCACTCTATCACAACATATGAATTGAAGCAGATTTTCCTCTTGCTCCGGGAGGATACAGATATGAAAGTAAGTCAAGTCTAAGTATGTAAATTTCTGCATTTGTTTGCAGTTTTCAGTTCTTATCAATACACATCAAAAAGATTTTAATTGGTTCTGTTGTAGTTCTTTGTTCATTTTTCTGGAATTGTATAATGCACTATAGTAAGAAGGAGAGAACTTTGAACTTTACTGTTGGATCCGTGTGGACTGTAGGTCATAGTTTTCCAACTTCTAAAAGAGATAAACGAGAGAGCGCTTACGTTTCTTGCCTCTCCCCTTCAAAATATTTAATTAAAAACTCCACTGATTTGTGTTGCCTTCTAGGATTTGCTCCTACCAATTGTAGTTTCATAGCACTTTTTATTTTTTTTCAAGTCCATGTATTTTTGTAGTTTCTTAAGGCCAAGTTAATGGTATGACATGTGTAAGGTTTGCACCGCTGTGACATTCTGTTTCAGTTCCTGTACAGGATACAGCTGTTGCATGCAGTGTCCTCAGTAGCACGGAAAGGAGACATTTTTGACTGTAGTAGCTACTTTGATATTCAGCAAGACTCAGGTAAAGTGTCAGGATTCATGGCCATCATCAATATCATTGATGCCTTTTCCTTAGTTTACTCTTTCACAACCTACTTTTGTAAGATTAATTTTAATATTATTTTCATTTATATATATCTGCTCTCCCCCAGGCGCTTACATGGCATATAGTAGGACAGCTTTACTTTACTTTACTTTTCATTTAAAACATAGATCCCTCAAGTGGTCTGTTATCTTGACATGTTTAACAAACATTTTGATTGTATTTCTAATGCCCTCCATATATGCTTATGGTCATTGCAAGCCTGTAAATGCTTCCTGAGGTGAAGAGGAATTCTGCCATTGTCCCATTCTTCCCCCACCAGTCCAGTTAAAATCAATTCGGCATTCTCAGAACTGTGTCACAGTTAATAACATTAAATTTCCAGATACTATAATTAAAATACCGTAGGTTGTGGTATCATAATTCCTAATACAAGAATGAAGGAAAGAGTAATATAAATATGGCATCACACAATCACAGAAGTTGAAAACTTGTGGTAGAAAATTGAACAATATTCATACACAGGTGTTAGTTATGTTCTTAATTATCAGTCACTTTCATAATTTGGTAGCAGAACGTGGTATGAAGTGGCGCAGACTCTTATTATGTGACAACAGCAAGTATTTAATTTTGGAAGTTATGATGATAATATAACAATGACAGCATCAGCAGGAGCAACAATAACAACAACAATAATAATGGAGTACACTTCGTATTGTATATTTTTATGTCACCATTTACAAAATATCTTAATCCCCTTCCAGTTCTTTATCTTTGCCAGTTAACTGCTGAGGCAGTGTTGCTGCCAGCTACAGATTACACAGAACACAACAATGCCAGTGATGCACTTTTCAGTTTCATTTACACTACTGCCTAACATGTTTGTGTAACTGCCAGTTAATGGTCTTGATATGAACAAAAGAGCAGTGGGAATTAATTTTAATTTAACAAAAAATAAATAATAAAAAATATAAAGTATGCCACCCCTAAAATAATTTTTTATTGAGGAGTACAATTGATCAGTTTACAGCAAAATGAAATGGGCATGCCAAAGCTAAAGCCTGAGTTTTCCTAATTCTGTGGTCATCACATATGTTGAATGTTTTTTGCAGATGGCATCAGTGTTCCAGGCATCAAGAAGTGGCTGGGAGCAGGGTATGGGTTCAGTTTTCACTGCTGGGTGCGGCTGGACTGCATTGAGGAGCCCCAGTGTGTGAGCACCACCAACTACCGGCGTCAGTTGTTCAGGTAGGTGCAACAAGCTTATTTTGTTTGAGGGAACTACTTTATGTGGGTGTAACTACTGAACAGTATTATTCATTTTACACTTAAATATTATAAAGATAATACTGCTATTTGTGAAGTGACAGGTTAGGGTTTTGGGTATTTTTAAATTAATTGAAATTTGAATGATGTATGAAAGGTGAACAAGAAATGGCTTGGGCTGGATCATACACAGATGGGTTGAAGATAAGAGACAGGTGAGAAAGAAGAATGTAAGAGAGCATACTGTTTGGTCAGAGTGAGCAAATAGGCAGAGGTTGTGTCAGTCATTCTGAGATGCAGATTGCATTGTTTGTGCAGGTTGCTGACAAGTGTTGAAACTGGGCCTGAAGCTTTCTTCCAACCTGATGGAACGCTTGTGGTTGGTATCAACACAAAGAAGGAATTCCTGTCTGTGTCAGTGATGGACTTTCCTCTCTTGGATGGGCAGTGGCACTGTCTAGACATATGCCACATGGCTGCAAGGTAACAGTTAACAGTGTTGTCCTCAGTGTTTAACCAACCTTTAGGCTGACAGTCTTGAGGATTTTCATGGTTTTCCTTAGCCTCTTCAATCACATTGAACTTTTTGATGAATTGGTTAGCACTCATACTTCTGATTTCTACCAGACATTTTGGTCAAGTGGTTAGCTCTCCTGCTTTGTATTCTGGAGGTCCTGGGTTCAAATCTAGACTCAGAGACCAGCTATCCTGACTGAGGGTTTTTGTGGTTTTTCTCAGCCCCTCGAGGCAGGTGCAAGGATAATACATTAAATTAGGCCATGACTACTTCCTTCCCCTTCCTTTCTAATTCATTATTCAGTATCACCATCTCATTTAATGTTGCATAGCCTTAGCTACTGAAAAAGCAACATTAAATAAACGATATATAAATAAATAAGTAAATAAATTCTGCTTCCTTCCACATGCTCTCCAATTTATTATTTACTAATCATTTAAACATTCAGTTCTATATAATTTGAGCTATTGGAAATATTATTACATAAACCAAGAATGAATAAACACATTTTCATGCAGATGCTAAAAGTGCTTTAAAATAGATGGCAAATGCATACTTATGCATTCTTCCCAGTTCATTTTTATCCCTGCATTTGATTCTGTGTAACCTATGCAGTTAAGAAAGCTTCCCTAAATAAACCAAGGAACAGTGAAGTGTGTTTGTTGGACATTGTAGAAACGTATCAAGTTTTGTTAGTTCAACAGATTTTTCAGTTTTGTACTGATTGATACAGCAAGGTTAATAAGCACACTTTATTTGAAATGAGCCTGAAGTTGGAGTGATTCCTTGTTTAAGCCAGATCCTTATCTATTTGGTTTTCAGAAGACCATTTGGACAGAACCAATTAATAATATACATAGATGGAGTGCAGAGAATGGGAGCTGGTGTGAAGTCAGCTGCAATGACAGATGTAAGTTGTTACTGTAACATTAATCTGTGTTGTCCCTTGTTTTAATGCATATATTTGTCCACAGTCTCTCATCTCACAGTAGAAACCAGGTGCATTTTGCATGTTGCTGCTAGAGTATTCATTATAGGCTTCAATGTTAATATTTTTAAAAAGTTTCACATTTTTGGGGGGAAGAAATGTGAAAACTTAAATTTTTCTTCTTGCATTCTTTGGATTTTATTGAAAATATTCTTACATGATGTAAACATTGAAAATATTAGAAAATTAAATTTATTCTGGCATTTAGTTAAAATGTTGGCTGTAAGTGGCTAATATGGTAAAAAGATGATCAATATGGGTTTTCATATTACTGAATATGTAACATAATGGGATGATGTTGCTCATGAGTTATACTTCAAATGGGTCTGTTACATCTTCAGTTACAGTACTGCATTACACCTTTATTTTTCTTTCAGCCTTTTACATCTTGCATAGTTGGCTCTGTTATACAAAGACATCATAACTCCAGCAATGCCACCATGGATGGCAAGTCAGGTGATCGGGCAGGATTCCTTCCTGGTGGTGTGATGGATCGAGGTCTTCTGCCAGCGTTCATGAATCAAGTGCCAAATTACTTTACATTACCTCTACGTTCCTCTGCACCCCTTGACCCTAACGTGAAGAGCTTCCCTGCTGGCATGCAGGACACCATATGGGGCATACCAACAAATCTAAGGGGACAGGTTGGACTTGTCTGTCTCTTTCACGAGACGCTCACCGCACAACAAGTTAAAACTCTCTATGATGGAGGTACTTTGCAATTTAGTGTGTGGGCTTGCCTATCAGCTGTGTATAACGATTTAGAAATCCGAGCTGAAACAAGAGAAATACATGTGAATGATCAGGGTAACTTGAGGAGCCTGGGTATGAACCATATTGAGTGGTTCTCAGTTATTAGAACCTATCTGCACAGTCCGTCAGTTCTGAATATAAATAGTTTAATTTTAAAGGGTGCCTCCTGTTGCATGAGATTTCTTTACATTTATTCATAATAGGTATGTACCTGGAAGCATAGGAAGTTTGACCTAGAGTAGAAACATATTTTATCTCAGGTTTAAAAACATGCTAAAATGGAAGGGGAAGATTGTAAGTTGTTTGAAGAAATTTATTTATGTCTGCTGATCACACTATTCATAACACATTTATTTTTGCGAGTATCGTAGCGTTAAATTTCATACATTGTCCTTCCTTCCAGCCCTAAGATTACTAATTCTGTTTTTATTTATGGTTGGTTACTTCTAGTAATGTCGAGATATATTTGAAATGGTTGAACAATCTAATGTGAATTGCTGTGTGTAGCAGCTCACTGAGCTTCTAAATAAAACATTTCTGAAAATGCTACTGAAGTTTGGTAACATTTGAGGCATTATGACTTTTGAGCCATTGTGTGATTTTCCAGTGAGAATGCAATCGTGATAAAATGATTTGTTTACTTGCTTAACTTAGAAGCTGAATGGAGATAAAAGGTTCTTACTTAAACCAAATATTTATGTGAGATAACTGGCTCATTTTGTCTTTCTTGGCAGTTAGGAAGGTATTGCTTGGTGATAATATTGAATCATTTATTGCAGTACTTATATTGTTTGATAACATATACAGGTAGATTTAAGTAAATTATTTGTTAGCACAAGTAGTTGGTTTGAATGCAGGTCCCAACTGTCATGCACTGTTTGCACTGGAGGATGTGCCTGAATTTCTGGAGTTGACGAGCAAGTTGGTGTTTTGCTTCTCTCCTGCGGCATACTGGAATAATCTGTGTCTGGACCTGGCACCCACGAACAAGTACGATGGACATGTTGTGGCAGCTCACTGCCAGACACACAGCATCAAGGTACCAGCAAGTCTCATGCAGTTCTTGTGATTGTGTTTCTGTGTTCACACAAATTTTCAGAAAAAAGCTAGTTCTCACATGTATATACTGGATCATGGGGCTGTAGAGAATTCTCATGTTCTGATTGATGGATCTAATAGAATGTGAGCTGTGGTGTGTGATAATTTTTGTCTCATAATGTCTGTCTGATCTTCTGAAGCCCTCTTACTCTCCCACATTCTCAAAAAATGTTTTTTGTTTTTGTTTATAAGATGTTTTTGTCAGAGCATATTTAGTTATTTAAATGGGCTCGATTCCAAACCATTTTTATGGTTAATACATTATAAGCAAGTAGAAGAACACAGACAAATGAAAGGAAAGAAAGGAAACTTACACTGGTGAATAACAACATGTAAGAAGGGAGGAAAAAGTTTACTTTTACTTTACTTTTAATGGTTAACATGAGGGTTACACTTATAATTATTCAATGTCTTGACTTTTTCCATCGTCCTTGTTTCAAAGAAGAAACATGATGTTTCAGAATTGTTGTGCTTCCTTCTTTTAAACAAGGATGATGGAAAAAGTCCAGATAGTTAATAAATTTAAGTGTACTCCACCATTGTCAGAAGCCTTTAAATTGAATGAGGGTTACAGTTCCTCTATATGCATGCTACCAACTACAAGTTGCAAAAATGCCGCTGTTAAACATTGCCATATCTGTATGTCAGTTTGCAGTTGTTAGTATCTGCCAGACTACATGGTGTAACATCCCAGAACTGAGTTTATTCCAAAATGTTATGCACTCTTTGTAAGACCTCATGTGACCCTTTAAGCAGATATGCTCTACATGTTAAGATCCAGGAGTCAATGGAAAATTGGTCATGTGACCCTTTAAGCAGATATGCTCTATATGTTAAGTTCCACAAATTCACAGCACAAATAATTCACTTATTCTGTGACATTACTTTATTATGTTTCTTACAGAATGTGATCAATGGAATTGGAGGGGTTCATGCCCTATTTCCTATTTTGGAAAATGCCTCAAAATCAGATGAAGGCCCTGACCTTAGCTTCCTCTCACCATCTGTTGAAAAGGAGTGTCGTTTGATTGAGGGTCATGAAAGTTCCATGGATTCTGATGATTGGGAGATCCTGCCTTCCAGCTCATACTCTGGTAAGATAAAATATTTGAGCTATGTAAAAGGTGGTTAATTTCTTGACCGTTGGATAACTGTTAGGTTCTCCAGAGGGATTCTGCTGCTATGTAAAAGGTGGTTAATTTCTTGACTGTTGGATAACTGTTAGGTTTTCCAGAGGGATTCTGCTTCATGGTCTTTGTTGTCTCCAAATCATATATTTTAGTCAAATGTTATAGTACGTACAGAAACAAGGACTCTGTCTTTTCTGTACATTTTAAGGTCTGATGAATGGTTACTCATAGCTTTGATAAATGTGTTATTAGACACACACACATATGTGAATAAAATGAAAATTTCTTCTTATAGACTGGAAACTTGAGCAGAACCCAGTGTCTGGATTCCTGAGCTTGCTGAAGAATATTATTGCTGGCAGTCCACTCAATCAGGAGCAGTTGTTGAAGAACAATGGAATGGTGATCATTGGAGTTCTTCTAGCAAAGGTATTAAAAGCCTCATTAGGACCTGTTATCATTGAAGAAAGTATCCAAATTCTTCCCCCAATGTGTAGGAGATTTCTTGAGCAGTAGATAATTATTCATTTAATGAAATTTTCTGTTATAGAACCTGGTGGTAGATTTCTGTGATATCAGTGGCCCATTGTTGCACTGTAGCTGACTCACTGCAGTGTTCATCTTTATGCCCTGTTCACAGAGACCTATTTTGTTGTTGTCTTTACATCTTCATGTTTGTCTCTAATGTGCTGTCTTCCAATCAGGATTAAAAAAATCTTTGCGTATTTTTTGTTCTTACATGTGTATATATATTTCATGCCTTACCCACCACCTCCTCCTCCTCCACTTTCTCTTTGATTTAATTATCCTAACAGTAATGCATGAAGAGTACAATTGGTTTGGCATCTAGTATGCAACTATTCATTCTCTGTCCACTTTATATCATTTACTTCATTGGACTTACAGAAAACACTCTTTTTCCAGGCTAAACCACATCTTATTGATGTGAATGTGCTGATGGCAGTGCAGCTGCTAGTTGAGATGGCTCGAGACACATCAAATGCTATGTTGCGTCAGGCACTGTTTCAGCATGTACTTTTCAACTTCAAAATTTGGTCCCAAAGCCAGTTTCACATCAGGATAGGTGAGGATTTGAAGCCATTTATAAGCTTTGCATAACCAGTGCCATAGCCCCCAACCCCCCCAACCCCAAGTCAATAATGTAGTGTGGTGTTAGAAGGTTTTTTCAGTGGACCTTTATCATATGGGAATAGCAGATTTGAAACCTGAATTAAGTGACTGAAGGCCATTGTTAATAGTTTTGTGATATGTTAGTGTAATGCATGGCTAGTTAGATCACACAAAATATGTATCATGTGAACAATAAAGGTTAGTGAACACAAGTGTGCAAAATGCACCTGCTTGTGATATACTTTGTTAGGCTTGTTCTACGTCTTTGTATTATGATCAGTATCAGCAGTTACTTTGCTGTCTAAAACCACTCACTTTTCCTACACCAATCAATTTTTTTGGTAGGTCATGTGCAATACATCTCAACTGTGATCAAGGATGATCGCAGATATTTTCGTAAGAAGTATGGCATTTCATTTCTGCTGGATGTTATTCGTCAGTATTATTCAACATGTGAACTGCTGAGCTCAGATGACAGCAAGACAATCCGTGTGTCACTGCTTGGTCTTATCAAGTACTACATGCAGAAAGAACTGAACATAAAGGAGGTGGGGGCCATCTTGGGCTTTCTGTCATCAGTTAAAGAAGAAGTCCTGGTGAGAATGTGATTGTTATATTCTGGAAGTAGTGTTGCTTGATGAACTGTGAGATTTTTTTGTAATAAGAATTAATAGAAACATGTAATTAATCTATAAATCCATCAGCCTATAAACATGCAGTACAGCTTTAAAGTCAACTTGAAAGTACTGGTGGCAGCTTTATTTAGTGTATAAAAGTGACATTAAAACTTATACTTTTATTTCTGTGGGTTGTTGGTCCACCAGTGCTTGATGTACATATATTGCTGCTCCCTCAAGTTGTGTGGTAGGGGCAGATGAGCCAGATGGACTCAGAGTAAGGAACTATAGACAGTGGGCTGATGTGTGTGTTTTCACAGTTGCTGGAGGTACTGGAGATGGTGATTTCATACATGGAGAGCAAGAGCTGCAAGGACCAGATATTCCTACTGCTCTATGAACACAGTTATGCAGAAACCCTCTACTGCCTGCTTGTGGAGAAGGGCTTTAGTATGCAACTCAAACAGAGGGTTCTCAAGGTATTATAGTTCTTACTAGCTGGTGTTCATGGTAGGGTATCCATTTGTCACACTGTCCTTTGATTTGTTGGCAATAAGTATTGACTGAGTTCATCCGATTTTTTACAAATGTCATGCTGCTGGAAAACTTTCATCTTGGTATTCTGTTTTATTTTCATTATGGTACTAATATGATAATGACTGCATAATGATGAGCTTAAAAATCTGTACTCCTCCCCCAGTATTGTCAGGGTGATTAAGTCAAGAAGAATGAGATGGGCTGGGCATGTAGTGCGCATGGATGGGACAAGAGGTGTGCACCGGGTACTGGTTGGGAAACCTGAAGGGAAGAGACCGCTGGGGAGACCTAGACGTAGATGGGAGGATAATCTCTGGTGGGATCTATGGGAGATAGGAGTTGAAGGAAACTGAATTTTGTTGGCCCAGGACAGGGTCCGGTGGAGGGCTTTGGTTAATTCGGTGATGAACCTTCGGGTACGGTAAGCCATCTAGTTAGTTAGTTATGGTACAAATATATTTTGTGTACAAACTTGAGTGTGAGTAATGCTAGAATCTTCCAGAAAAGAGTTTTAAAGTTTCATATGATATAGCTCTGCAATGCCTGACATTTTCATTGAGGGGTGTGTGTGTGCACGCGCATGCACATGTGCTTGCATGTGTATATATATTAAGGAAAATATAAAATATCATGTCATACAAACAAAGCAGTTGGATGGGTTGGTGGTTATGATGAATCTTTGAAATTGGATCTTTGAATTATTATGACATGTTACAAAGCCGTTTACTAGCTGTGTGAATGTTATTAATACGTGTTCCATTATAATTAGCTGCTTCAAGGAATCATTGTTAAATATGAAAGATTGAGACTTAACTGCAGCTATTTTGCTAAATACTGGCACTAGAAGTATTAAAGTACAAACCCTGAACTATACTTCTGAACTACTTTGACCAATTAGAGCTGAATATTTACCAGAAGAAAATTATGGTTATGTGTCCCACAGCTGTTGTCAGTGTTGCTGCGGTCAGACCTGATATATGAGAGGAACAAGTCTCGGCTCAGACTGCAGGATGTGTCTGTGCTAGGGGGAAATTCTGTGGGGATGTACCCAGGGTTAATTGCCATGCTTCAAGACCAGCAGTTGTCAATGGAGGTAACTGCCATGCTGCTTGACCAGATCTTGTCTACAGGTTTGTGATTGTGATTATCAGCTAGTACTTTAAGGCTCCACACAGATGCTTGTAGTTACTGTGTAAAATACATTGGAATTATGCAAAGTCTGTCTTACAAAAGTAAGAATTGTTTAGCCGTGAAAAGTTAAAAAAAAGGGAGCATATTTCTAACTGCACAAAAGAGTTTGTTTTTCCTTGCCAAATTGTCTTAAAATTGATATACTGTTCTGTAACAGTGTTTGTTAGTATTGGAAATTTGAAGGAATTTAAAGTGTGTATTTTTTAATATTTTGGAATTGTCACTTTCTTTAGAGAGGTATGAAACCATTTCTTAAATTATTTTTTATGAAACAGAATTTTATTTACAAATACAAGTATTTTGAAAGGTCTGCAAATTGGATTATCATAAATCAGAATTTACTTTCTTGACTATAGGCTAGAAACCAACAAAGTTTTCATCAAAAGAAAGGCTAGAAATATATGTTATGATTTTAATTAAACCATGGTTTGTCTATTTAATTTCTTTGTTTTATATACACATTCAGGAACTGTACTATAGTTTTCAGTGGAAAAATTGTGTGTGAGTGTTATTTTTTTATCAACCATATTTAATAGGGTTTAGTAGATGGAGGAAATGTAGATGTGGTTTTCTGGGTTGTGATGTTGAGCAGTCTTGTAGATGGTTATCAAGGTTATAGAGTGACATATTACCCCCATTTTCATAATTTACCCTAACAGTGGAAACGGTATGTTCCTCTGAGATGTTGGTAACTATGTGTCATCCTTATTGTGTTTTTTTTCCTGTTATGATGCATATTCCATATTACATATTGACATCTTAACCCAGATGGCTACAGTTTACATTTGCGTGATCATGAAAATATCAGATCTAATATGAAAGTGCAGTTCTTCAGCTTTGTTCAGATTCTGTAACAAAGACTGAGCCCAATTTTGTGTCTTAGATAGCAGTGGAGGATATGCAGGAGCACTGTCCTTGCTGCATGCTCTGTCTTTGGCTGACCTTGACCTAAAGCTGGAAGCTGCACAGAAGATACTAACTGCCACATTCATGAAGGCCAGTGCTCCTCACCACTTTGCTAAGCAGGTACAGACACTGCTAACACTTGCAGTGGTATTTGTTTTCTTTGTTGTGTAAATAGAGTGATAGGTGTGTAAATTACTCCACTGGAAGATTCATTGGTACCACAGGATAGGTTGCTGTTGGTAGTACTGTCTCAAACCAGTTGCTTTATTGACTGCACTATCGTGTCTTTTGTACTTGATAAAGGACTATTAAATAATCATACAGGCAGATAAGAAAGGAAAGAATGGATCCTTACCACTGATTTGAGTTGAGAAACTGAGTGCAAGGCTTTCTGCTGTGTTGTAATGTATTGAATCATGGACAGGTGGGCTGGCAGGACAGCATCACTCGACTGCTTGTGAAACGACCTATCAGCACTGCAAATATGCAGCAAAGTGAATCTCTCCCTGACCTTATGTCATTTGATGAAGAGAATCTGGAACTTGAGAATGCTTTGTACTCTCCATCATCAGTGTCGAGGCTTTCAGCACAGGTCACTGATGCAGCACTGGTTCTGGAGAATGAGATTAAAGGTAACAAGGTCTTTGCCTCAGCATCCAGAGTTGAAGGCTTGTTTTTTTGATTGACAGATCCTACGTGGAATTTTCCTCATATCTTCACTTTATATCAATAATTTTGAATTATTTTGGTTTTACACCATTAAGTGACTACTTTGAAACACAAATTGAATGCAGTTAAGATTTTCCACATTATAAGACATGCAGAACTGTTTTTTCTGAAGTGTTGGATCTTACTGACTCAAATTAGAATTGTCCAGTGTGGAATTAACAAAGTGTTCTATGCCATATTTGTGTCTAAAACTTTGAATATTATGTAATTATTTTGTTGTTGCATTTTCAGAGGTGGCAGAGACTGTGACAAATGCTGTTGCGGACAACATCCATTATGCAGCCGATAACTTAACTTCGGTCGTTGCGTCCGCATACTCAGTGTTCCGTCAGAAAACTGTTGAGATGCAGGTAAACCTGAAGAATTATTATTGTGAAAATTGTACAGATGATCCGCATAGAAACAAGAATGAAAGTACTGCTGCTAGCAGTTAAAAGTTTTGCTATTGTGTGTCAGTGCTGTTTTTACTGAGCCCTATGAAATTGTGGTGTGTGAAGTTCTTGTGGAGTTATGTAAAGGATTATGTAAAAATAATTTCATGGTACAGGGTTTTCCTTGAGCAAGTAATTGTCATTCAGTTGTTGAAGAAGTTCCCTGTTTTGTGGTTTGTAAGTATCATACAAAACAGATAAGGGAAAGTAAGAAATGGGGAGAGGAGTGATGATAGGACAGACAAATGGAAGGAATGGGAAGGGAATATGTGAGGAAAGAAGAAGGAAGTGAAGGTATGGAAAGGATGAATTTATTTATTTATAGTTTATTTAACAAATTTTTTCAGTAGCTCAGACTATAATGTCAAGGAAAGGGTGAAGGAGTGGTAGAAAGAAGGTGAGTGGTGAAGATACATAAGGAATCATTTCCTGTTGGATTTTGGTTGACTCTTTATACTAGTCAAGAACAAAACCTACAAGTAGTTGTATCAGGGACTGAGCACATGATTGTAGTATTTTCTGAAGCGATACTGTCAGTTAACATGGGTATAATTTGATTGCCATTCTTTTTTCAAGAGCTGATTAATTTATGTGATTCTGTGATTAAAGCTGCTTCTAGCCTCACTGGCTCAGTAACATATATGAGTTGCTGTTGGTATAGGAGAGTCTGGAAGAACTAGGAGAGTCAGCTGTTTCCAGACTGAAGAAGCGCCGGAGTCTGATCTCACTCTATGAGACTTCCTCAGACCGGGAGTGTTCCCCATCACCGTCACAGGCTTCTCCTCGCCCTGTCCGAACGCCACAGTTGCTTGCGACCCTTGGTTTAGATCTTGATACCATGAGCTTGGGGAACAGGTGAAGAAACATATTACAGTGAATGCTTTGTGGAAAATGTGCTCATAAGGGACAGGCTGTATATGTCATCTTATGTTTTATTGCATGTTCTTTGCACAAAGTGCATAAAATGAATGCATTCAGGGACTGGCATGCTTATCTGTATGTTTTGCCTTTGAAACAACAACGCAGATATTCGGGTCTGCTGTATATATTTTTAGGTGAATTTAATGTGGTTCATATAAGCCAATGTAATTTTTCTTTATATGAAGTTCAGATAGAAATTTATAAAATTACAGAAGAAAGAGAAAAAAATGTATCTTCGTATAAAGAATTGTATGGATGCAAAAAACAGACGTATCTAAGATCTGCAGCCTATATTTGAGCCAGTTTTCAGTGTGATATATTTTTAACAAAATTAAAGGGAAATGTTACATGAATTGTGCATATATAAGCCACAGCTAAATTTTTAGAAGGAAGTAAATAAGTACAATCTTATTTATAAGCCACATTGGAGATTTCCAAAGACATTGGTTGTGTGACAACCAGTAACAATATTCATATTCTTGTACCTTGTCTCCCAGTCTCACAGTCTCTAATACTGGTCCAAAGTCAAACTTGGTAGCAGTTACATGGTTGGTGTTGATAATAGTAAAATGTGGACAAGGGATACACAAGTGTGATTCAGACTGATTATTTCTATGTCATAAAGAATCACAACCAAATTTTAGGGGATGAAAGTTTTGAAAAAGGTGTGGCTTATGTTTGTGCAAACGTGGTATGTCTGTGAAGTGGTATATATTATTTTTGTGAATTATGACTGTATGGTGTGGTTTTGATACTGTTATTTAGGCCTGAATTTTGAATTTTCAGCTATTGTTCATGTAATTAAGTTTTGCTGATTGACATTATACTGATAGGTCTGGATCTAGCAGCAGCACTGAGGACCTGTCATCACCCAACCTGAATGACAGCTCTGCTTCCACCAAGGACAATGTGAGCATTGCATCTGCCCAGAGCATCTCTAATGCCAGCAGTGAGGGAGAAGAGAATGAGAGGCTTGTGGCTGTAGCACTCAAGTATGTTGCATCTATGGGTTTGCTGTTGGAAGCTTGTATGCAGTTTTCACTTACATGTGTGCTATATTTCCTGGTAATCTTATCCTTGATTATATCACCTTATTAGTATCTGGGAAAAATTACAAATTATGCAGCTCATCATTATTTGCATTGTAATTTATGCAGTATTGATGTTATTCACAAACAGTTCTGTTCATAATTTTTATAGTTGATCTTTTGTTAGTTTAATGTGTAATGTGGAACAGATAGAGACAGATTGGCAGTCCTCTTGGTAACTCACTCTTGTTTTACTGGTCTGTGAAGCATTAAATGTTATAAATTGCTATTACATAGGTTGGGAATGACATTAATCTTTGTCTGCTGTTCGTCATGTCTTAGATGTGAATCAGCGGTTCATGCGTTGCAGTAGCATACTGCTAAACTGTTAAACCTCTTGAAGATGGTTGTCTTCTGGGTTGTTGCATCATGTCATCTGGTAGAAGTTTACTGACATTTGTGTCTTTAAATCCTCTTCCTGTATAACACAGGTCACATTACTGTTCTGTTAATAGTCTTTCTGCGAAATAATGATACAAATAGGATAGCATGTGATGTTGTAACAATACATGATTTTGTTGTAGGCAGTGGAAGGATGTCGACATTGAGAAACTGGTAGACCAGGAGGACGAGCTCTGCTACCTGGTGGCAAACATCCTGTTCACTGTGCTCTGGAGGGGTGTAGATGGGGCAAGCAAGGAGGCCTGGAAGGTTAGTTTTGTAATGTGGAGTATCTGGTTAAATTCAGATCTCTTACCACTTTGCAACACTTATTTGTTCTTGATTTCTTCAGTGATGCTTTCACTTGCTTAGATTATATAGTGATGAATGATTAGTAAATGACAAATTAGAAATGATGTGGAAAGAAGCACTTGTATAATTTAATTCTGGCATTTGCCTGGAGGGATTGAGGGAAATCTCAAAGAACTTTAAGATAGCCAGTTTCTGGGTCAAGATTTGAACATGAGACTTTGTGAATAAAAAACAGCAATGCTAACTGCTCAATCAAGATGTTTGGTCCTGAGCAGAGGTAATACTGTGAATGTATATTCAGGAGGTGCCAGGTATCCTGACAGTCTGTCAGCTAAATTCTGGTATAATACTTTTAAGTAGCTCTTGATATCCTCCTTCCAAATCCTTACCTGCTTCACATTCAAGACCATTTTCTTGTATTCATTCATGTAGAATAATTACAGTTTAAATGGTGTTAATTAATCAGAGACTCAGTATATGAAACCACTTTGTGGAGGTTCTTGCCTTTGGGATTGGAGAGAAGTTTGAGATGAGTGGTTAGAAGTAGAGAAGCTAATATTCTGATTATTAGTGGCTGCATGCAAAATTGAAATTATGGTCTGTGATGGTTATGTAGGATGGCTGCTTTGCTGGAAAGTGACTTAAATTTTAACAATATTTTGCTGGTTTAAAAATGAATAAATTTTTTAGTAATCCATGAGATGAAACTTGTAACTATTACACATATTAAAATCATTAGCCTATTTGAGTCAGATAATAGTAATAAAAAAGTATACACAATTTGAGTCAGATAATAGTAATAAAAAAAGTATACACACATATGCACATGCACACACACACACACACACAGAGTCATTTTACCAGATGTTTTGTATGGTTTTGACATACCTCTCTGCCAGTGATAGTATAACATAATTTGCAGCTTTACAGCTAATTGTGAACAAAATATTTAGATTCAGAGGAAGTCACTTAATGAAGAACTTGGCAGAGTCTGCTGCTGTCATAAGCATATTTAAATCAAGAAGGGTACAGTAGGTTGAACAAGTATTTCAGTTGCGAGAAACAAGAAGCATACAAAATTTTGGACTGTAAACCCTTCAAAAGTGACCATATTGGAAATCAAGGATGGAGGTGAGAGGATAATGTTCAACTGGATATTAGGGTGTAAGTTTCTAGATGTGAACTGTGTTAAAGTGGCTTAGGATAATGTCAAGGGATATACTTTAGTATAATTGCTGTTAAACCTTTGGTTTTTGTGATGAGGGATTCAGTCAGGTGTCATGTTTTGTTCCACTGTGCAGGAGCGTGGTCAAGTCATGGCATGTATAAACCTCCTGGGACTGAACAATGAGCTATACTGCTCACACCTGCAATTGAAGCTGCGGATCCTCGAGATGGGGGTGCAGGCCTCGCTGTCAGATCTACGAGACTTGGGACAGACTATGGCACTCTCTGTCCAAGCAGAAAATGCTGCTCAGCTTATGAGGTGGATCTATGATCTTATAGTTCTGGATCCCAATGAGGATACTTCAAAGAAAACTTCTGTAAAGGTAAGGCATTTGTGGTGTTCGGAGGCCAATTTCTGCTCATGAAGGTTCAGGTTCAGTCCCAGAGCAGTTAATGATGGAGAAGTGGCACTGGCAGAGATCTTATATTTACCTGTATTCATTTTACGTATGTCTTGTAATAAATGTGTAATAATTCCGGTGTGTCTATATTCAACAACAGTTTCGTGGGATGTGATTTTCCTGAACTGATTGTCTTGTTTGTTTGTTTACTTCATGATGTTATTCAGCTGTTAGGCATGATCTTTTGACTTGAAAGTTTTGGTATGAGACAGAGAATCATTCACCATAAAACATATGATTATTAGAAAACATTTCATAGTGCCTCGCACTTGGACAGTTTCTTTTTCCTGACCTAATGAATGGGTTAATAATTTGAGATTTGAGCTTGAAGTCTCGGGAGTCTGTTGGTGGCAGTTTTGTCAGAAGTATTGTAATGATTAACAATATTAAAATGAATCTTAGAGAAGTAGAATGTGGGGGTGTTAGCTATATTGAATTGTCTGAGGATATCATCCAGAAAGTTGACTTGTGAACACAGTGATAAACTCTCAAGTTACATAATAGCAAAGAACTTTTTGTGAAACGTAGTAACTGTTGAACACTCTGTACCATGGAGTTACCTATTGTTGTAGTTGCTGGATGGAGTACTTGGCCTCCTGGATACCCTCCTTGTGTTCCAGGAGGGGCCTGGTGAAGAGTGGACTGAGATGGCTAAGATGGCTTTTGGTGAGTGTCATTGGATGGTGCAGCATATTGCCTTTGTCACATGTTTCTCTGCGCTTTAGTTAGCACCAATAACCAAGTTTGTGAATCTTGGTTGCATCTTTGTTTGTCTGTTAGAAATATTTTTGAACTTGAAACTCAGAATCCACATGGTGTGAACTAATGAAAAGCATAAGAAATGGTTGCTGTTATATAGCTTTGAATTTCCTGTTCTTTCCAAATTGGCATTTACAAGACACTAGTTGTGCAAGCTGTTTTGTGTGAAGCCGCAGTAAATAAACAGCTGAGAATATTGAATAATGCGGGGCATAAAATAAATTGGAAATAGGTTAATTTTGTGAGACAGATTGACAGACTCTGGGCTGGGTGATCAAAGTTTGGTTCCTGGTAGATACTGGAATTTTTTTCCTGGTTTCTTTTCTTAAGGAAAAACATTTAGCCCATAAGAATACCATTCTGTCTGTGCATATGTATTCTTTCAGCATTTGAACCGACTGTTTTTTTTTACAAAATTTAGTTTGAACATTGTGTTATTGGAGTCAACCATTTCCTCATACCTTTGCTTTTGTGACCAGTAATAACAACATAACACATGTACAAACATGTGAGTTGTAAGTGACACTAGTAATACAGGATTTATAATGATCACATGCTATTATAACCCCTGCATTGCAGGAATACTGCTAAGTTGCTCTGCAAACAGAAACCTGGAACTTTGTGCCATGGCAACAGCCAAGCTTCATGCACTCATACAGACTCGCAACATGAAGGACCGTGAGGAGGGTGCCTTCCTGCTCTACTTCATGAATCACACTGTGCAGAGAACTATTGAAGGTAACTGCTTGTGTACACTCAGTCCTGCCTGTTTACTGTGGGGTCCTGTTTCACATAGGCTATACTTACCTACTCCACAAGCCTTCCAACATTTTCTATAATGTTCACAGTGAACAACCAGGAGCACTACTCCTTCCTGATTCCTGTAGTGAAAGCCTTGCTTGAGAAGCTGAGTGTCACTTTTGGGTTGGCATCTCATCTGCCAGATCTGCCCCAGACACAGGCTGGCCCTGCCTTCTTTGATGATTTCCAGTCTTACTGTCAGGGGGCCCAGTGGAAGACGTTCATGGAGAAAAAGGTAGGATAACTATTATACTTTCATATTTGCCTCAGAGTCATATTTTATGTTCTATCTTTGTGCTGAAAGAACCATTCTCTACACCATATCCATATATAGATATGTACCTAATTCATTTATCCTGTTTCTTACTGTGGCTGTCACATTATTTTATTCTGTTCCGTTGTTGCTAAAACAAATTTTATGACATTTGATACCTAATCTGATTCATCCAAATTCTGGAGTCCACTAATTCCCAGTTGTTGTTGTTTCTTGGCTCTACAACCCAGATGTGGGTTTTCGCTGCCTCCTTTTCGGAGGTTTCTTGGCCGTAAAGTGTACGCTTATGAGTAGTGAGTGACCAGCCAACTGACTCTGCACAATTTCTACTCAATCCTGATTTGACTGCCAGAGCCATCTAGCAGTTAATCAGGAGACTTGGGTGAGAAGTGGCTGCTGAATTTTGCTTATGAAATATGTCGTATCATGCTCGTAAGGTTCTTTTACTTGCCGTATATCTATGACATTGGACCGCCAGCTTTACTTCCCGTCTGAAGGAAGTTGTGCTATGGATTTTTATCACCTTTAAAAATCCATCGACCTCGGCCAGGATTGAACCCACAAACCTTGGGTCCAGTGGCAAGCACGCTAACCACCAGTCCACCGAGGGCGACACTAATTCGCAGTAGCTTCTCATATTAATTTTTCTAGACCGTGCACACAAAAAGAATTTTTGCTTTTCAGTCATAACATACATGAGATGTATTATGTGATCGGTTACTGACAGATGTCATGCTGTTATGGAGTGGTATGTAAAAATTCTGGAGAAATTAGTAGTGAATTTATTGACTTTAGTTTTAATCCTGATATTTACAGAATTTGGGAATGAGGCTGTGGTCAGATCTTGTGTTTGTTAATGGTTTTGAAAGTATGGAAGCTAACACTTAGGCACATGAAGACTTCTAAGGGCTGCTATATTATGTTGGATAGAATTTTTTCACTGCCACACGGTACAGTGCAAAATTGTGAGGATTCTATCTGTTAGTAGGTTCTTGGCTCACGAGTCAGCCATAACACCATTCTGTTAACAAATAGTTAAATTCATTGTTATGGAAGCAGCGAGTGGTAAGGTACAGGATATTGGTTTATTTCTTTGGTTTACATATCTGAACTGTGCACATTATGCAGTCATACCATTAATATAATCAACAGTTTTTAAATACATAAGCTTTACATACAGTCTGCATAAATACATATAAAAATATTGCACTAATGTTTTACTTAACAAGTGACAACAAATTGGGGATGAGGGACTGAAGTGGAATTGGATTTCTTAGCAAGGTAATGTTTTGAGTGTGGTAATGTGCATGTCAGTTTCTTGATTGGCTGCAGCAAAAATGACAAACAAGACACTTGGTGGCTGTCTTCTGGGTTGTAGTGTAGTAGCAATTTGCCAGTGTTCAGAGGTCCTTGCTGCATCCATCATCACAGCGATGAACACACCTCTGAAATGTCGGTAAATTTCTACCAGACTACACAGCACAACAAGCAAGAAAACAGCCATTTTCATACTCACTGTCATGACGACTTTAAATCTCAGATTTTCATTTTAAGATATAATTCTAGCAGTTGGAGAAATGCATAAATCATTGAGTCCCTTGTTATGTGATTTAATTCAAGTTGTGTGTTGGACGTATCATGTAATTAAGAATACATGTTATCTAGAAGGGGGATGAAGCTGCTACAATATGAAAACTGTTTTGAATGTTTCTTCAAAATATTAAGTCATGTTCTCTTAGCATGATGATTGAGAAATAAAATGCCCAAATCTTTGTAACTAGAATCTGTAACCTCTCAGTGTGAAGCTTTAGGCAATGAACAGGGTTCTGTTATTATTTATAACACGTGAATTTATGAATGAATAATGAATGAATGAACAAATGAATGTGTTAATTGCTAGTGTGTGTCATCTTATTTGCAAGTTACTATCCCTGCTTCACTTCAGCTGTATTTGTTCCCACCCTCTGCTCTGATGAACCCTCCCATTGCTTAATAGAGGGTGAAAATTGTGATTGTGGGTCAGGGAATTTGACATGCCCTCTGGTGTGCAGAAGGGTTGTTGCTGAGTTGTCCTTTCGATCATAGTAGGTAGCATCTGAGGGGTCAAATTGATCTCTTTGTTTGATCTTGTTCCCGAAAGTTTCTGCATGTGGTTCAAAGTAATTTGGTGGGAGGTTGTCTGTACTTGGGGTTGAGGCCTGTGATTGATACTTGGGGAATTCACTTATTTGTGAAACTGAATGCTGTGTGCCTTCATCTCCTTTGTAAACTGCGGGCACATGCTGGACTTCCACATTTGTTGGTTTCTTCTGGTAAGCTGTTTGATCAAATGGAGATGCTGGCCTCTTGGTAACACTTGAGATACTGTGTTTATTCACTGCCTCTGATTGAGTATCATCAAACTTAACAACAGTTTCATACCTGTTTGAGGGTGAGCCGTAAGAATCAGAGACAGAAGGAGAGCCATAAGAGCTTGATGGTGTGTCATAGGATGATGATGGTACTCCATATGAGCTGGATAGAGAATCAAATAAGTTTGAAGGTGCTCCAAAAGAAGTAGTTGGTGCCCCATAAGCACTGGATGGTAAACCATATGAGTTAGAAGGTGCTTTCGGAGCACCATAAGAGATTGATGGTGCACTGTAAGAGTTTGATGGCGCATCAAAAGAACTGTAAGGTGCACCGTATGAACTTGATGGAGTCTTTGGAGCATCATAAGAGCTGGAAGGGGCACCATATGAATTTGATGGAGTCTTTGGAGCATCATAAGAACTGGAAGGTGCACCATATGAACTTGGTGGAGTCTTTGGAGCATCATAAGAACTGGAAGGTGCACCATATGAACTTGGTGGAGTCTTTGGAGCATCATAAGAACTGGAAGGTGCACCATATGAACTTGGTGGAGTCTTTGGAGCATCATAAGAACTGGAAGGTGCACCATATGAACTTGGTGGAGTCTTTGGAGCATCATAAGAACTGGAAGGTGCACCATATGAACTTGGTGGAGTCTTTGGAGCATCATAAGAACTGGAAGGTGCACCATATGAATTTGATGGAGTCTTTGGAGCATTGTAAGAGCTTACAGGTGCAGCATAAGAACTAGATGGAGCACCATATGAAGTTGTAGGAGTTCCGTACAAACTTGAAGGAATTCCATAAGAACTTGATGGTGCATTGGGAACATTGTGGGAGCTATGTGGAGCCCCATAAGAGCTTGACAGTGCGTCGTAGGAACTAGATGGGGCACCATATGAGCTAGATGGTGCATCATGTGAAGTGGACGATGAGAAAGAAAAGGAGATGGATGACATTGGAGAGTCGTAGTTCTCGAACTCCTTGTGGGAGCTGACAGGTGTCCCATAGGAATCTGATGGTGGCCCAAACTGGTCTGTGGGTTGTCCATATGAGTCAGAGGGAACACTGTATCCTGAGCTAGGAGGCCCATAACTGGCTTGTGGTGGGGGACCATAACTTGCTTTTGGAGGCCCATAGACTGGTTGTGGTGGGCCATAACTGACCTTTGGAGGTCCATAACTAGGTTTTGGAGGGCCATAGCTTGCTTTTGGTGGAGGGCCATAGCTGGCCTTTGGTGGTGGACCGTAACTTGGTTTTGGAGGTCCGTAGATCACTTTGGGTGGGCCATAGGTGGCCTTTGGTGGAGGTCCATAGCTTGCCTTTGGAGGACCATAGGCGGCCTTTGGTGGCGGTCCATAGCTTGCTTTCGGAGGTCCATAACTGGCCTTTGGTGGGGGTCCATAGCTTGCCTTTGGAGGTCCATATCTGGCCTTTGGTGGGGGACCATAGCTCGCCTTGGGAGGTCCATAACTAGCCTTTGGTGGGGGCCCGTAACTTGCCTTTGGAGGGCCGTAGCTTGCTTTTGGTGGGGGTCCATAGCTTGCCTTTGGAGGTGGTCCATAGCTGGGATTTGGTGGTCCGTAGCTAGACTTTGGTGGACTGTAAACAGGTGGCTCCCTACGGATGCGTGTGTGTTCTCTTGCAGCTGAGTGGCCAAAACTGAAGGCTATCACATATATTTCAATGAAGAAAACCTGAAAATATGACAGCATATCAGTATGTGTACATGTTTACTACTGAATCAGATGACCATATTTCACGACACCCATGCTGTTGGAAGAGTACAAATATGAAGCTTCTATGTAGGATTTGAGGTTTTCACGGCAGTGAGTCTGAAGATGGCTGTCTTCAGGGTTGTTGTGCCAGGTAGTCTGATAGAAGTTTCCCGCCGTTTCAGAGGTCCTTGCTGCCTTATTGCCCTAATGATGGAGGCAGCAAGGACCTCTGAAACGTCGTTAAACTTCTACCAGACTACACGGTGGAACAACCCAGAATACAGCCATCTTCATAAGCTTCCAGTTATGCACTTTTAATTTCTTTGTCTAAATGTTTACCTATTGTTATCAAGCGCCCAAATCTGTGCTCTTCCTTCAACATGACCAAGTGTGATACCCATATACATATTTTGGTTTTATGAAAACAGTAAGTCAGTAAATATTCTGAATCAAGTGGTAGCATGCGTTTTCTGAGTGTACTCTTGAACTTTCATTTTGATTTATGTAATATAGAAGAAATGCTTTACTGTCTAACATAACAGTGGCATTCTATATGTTTATTATTATAATTATTGTGTTATTAAATACCTTAGCATTGTGTTGTGATTTTTGGTGGGATTTAATAATATTGCATTTCCACATGACCTGACGTCTAGACCAAGATTCACCACTGGTAAACATGTCCCTCTGAAATTTCTGTAGGCTTGTTTCACATAGTTACTAGAAGTTAGAGTGCACTCATGAACTGGATGTGAACCCGTGCATGTAGCTTCACTTCCAAGGATCGTGATAACTCAGCACCTGAGATTGGACTAGGCTGTATATGGTTGGTGCACATTAACCTTGAAAGCCTGGTCATGACTGACTAATTGGTTATCCTGATACAAGTTTGTCACGAATATGTCTGGCCTACCACAGAAGTCTTTGTTTCTTTGGTCCCTGCAACCAGTACCTTGTCTTACTGAGCTGTAGTACGCCTGACTTGTATTCTAAAGATGTTATGGTTTTGAATTCCTACCAGAGGACTAGTTTATTGCCACTTGGTTTATTAGTGGTTTTCTTCAGCCCTCCTATGCGAATTTCGGATGGTTTTTGAAATATTTCAGTTCGTCTTCCTCTGATATTTTCAGTTTACCTTGCTTAATCATTCGGCGTCAGTATAATTTAAAATTGATTTAACCTTATTATATGAACAAACCGTACATGTAGTTCCGATGCGTGGAGCTGTACCTGTAAGTCACCCATACGCTGCCACTACCAAAACATGTTTGTTGCACGCAGTTGGTAGCCCTTCTGCTCGTGTTTTGGAAGCCTGGACGTAGTTTGGTTTGCCGGAATTGTGCTCCTGACGTTATGTACAGTTTATTCGTCATGCTACGTTTTGTTTTCGATGTAATAATCGTTAAATCCTCATGTGCCCTTCAACCAGCGTGTGCTTGTTCACAAACACAGACTTTATGAAAATACCTCCGAGAAAGCCCCTGTTCATGATTCACTGCCCCATATCACGCTGGTATTAGAAATTAATTAGTTGTGGAACTGACCAGTTCTTAGAACTGAGTTCTCGATTCGGAACTAATTTTTGTTTTAAATATCTTTGTTTATATTGCACTCCACGCTTTTACGGATGGGCCGAAGTTTTATTTCTGTATTTTATGTACTCGGTAACTTTATTCCAGATCATAGTCTCGTATACTCAGTTTTGAAGTATTTTCTTGTGTTATGTCCGGTCCTATTTTAACATTTTATAGACCTCGCTGGTTTGCGTTCGTAGTACGTGAAATGGACGTTTAGTGGCGATGTCTTATTACTCCATCAGCATCTACGAAACTGATGGGCTTGTTCATTAAATGAGATGATATTTCGTGTAAGAAATGTTGACGGTTAAATGTTGGTTTTATCCGTACCGTCCAGATAATATCCCTACTTTACAACGCCGTACGTGTAATGTAAATATCATTAAGTTTATAAATGTTATTTGTAACACTGTTCTTGTGGTGTATATGTAACGAGATGTTACAAATTATAATTGTTATACACACGCTGCTTGGTTTGCCTACATTGAGAGATTTCTGTCTGCATTAACTGGACATAAGACCACTGAGAAACTCAATATCGTAAAAGTGCTTCTGTATGGCTGCTATCCACGCCCTGCTGGATGAATTTTTTTGTCTTGATACACAAGACTGAAGTGTTTAGCCCGTACGTTTGTCTCTGTGGCAGTTCTCATTGGTGCAAACATTTGTGTTTACTGGAATGTGGGTGAACGAAATGAAGAACAGATTTTGACTACACTTGGTTTTACAGATCATTGTTGAAGTTAAAGAAATTCAATTTGGATCCAAATTAGAGACCGCGGGAACCAGATAGCTCAATCGGTAGTGTCTGACTAAAATCTGAAGCACCCCTGTTTGATTCCCGACAGGCTGTGGGATTTTTATCTTAGCCACCATTGTTCGCAGACCGGCTGTGGGTTCCATCCAGCCTCCTATTTGAAACAAGAATTTTTAAGTAAGAATGCTTGGAGCCTTACCCCCGGTGTCTAGGCACAGGATCGATCTCCACTTTACATTAAGTCTTAATTCTATTTTTATATGTAGTTTAGTAAATGCACTTAAGTTATAACAGGTTTAGATTAATATTCTGTGTTAAGGGCGAAGGGAGGATGGAATCGTTTCTTAAGTCTTTACTGTATGGACTGTTAGTAATGTTGTCCGCAATCCAGTAAACACTGAGTAAAATCGAAATATGTTTCTTATTTTCCATACGACGTGCCGGTTCATCTGCGTTATATGAGAAATGAAGTTACGCTCTCGCGTGTGATTTACTTAACGAAATTTTGAATTACGGACTATATAGCGTTGGGACCTTGCGTGCTGTAGGATATAGCACGGAGCGTGATATTGGCTTAAGTTGCTTATTCAGACGACATATGTCTTGAAGATCCTTTCATCCGCAGTGTATAGTTGATAATGCAATTTCTTTTCCGAATTGAATCTTGTTTAGAATTACACAGTAGTCATGTATATATGTGTCACTCGTAATGTAGTAAATATTGAATGGTTAAAAAGTTTTCATACGAACGTTGTCGCCGCCGATATTGTATGTAATTCATATCACTTATTTTCGATATTGAAAATGGCAATTGCTGCCGAATACTAATTTCTACTCACCATACGAGTTAGTGTTAGCTGCTTCATGTTGCTGTGGGCTTCTCTCTCACATCACTGTGTTACCCGCACTGATCACGCTCAGAACTGGCGCTCCGCAGTGTGAGATGCTACTTTATAACATCTTCTGCCCCACATACCCCTCCTAGCAGCAACAGTAGTTAACGTCGACTCATCTGCACTAACTCATTAAACAAATCGAAACAAATAAATCTAAACGTATTTAAATAAGTACCATTTTCTGCACTACAGGCGTGTGCCTGATTGTTAGAAAGTGTTCATTGGGCCCCCCCCCCCCCAGAGTCTCGTTTGCAGGAGACAAACAATCTGGAAGAAAACTAATGGCGTGAGGAAAACAAGTAGCGAGTCACGTTGTGTGCGATGTGTTTGTATTTGTTTTGAGAATGCGGATGAACTGGCGTGGCTCAAACTCTACTTTGGCAGAAAACTTTCGGCGCAGGGATTGAATTTTATTACAATTAAAAAAATGCTTCATGCATCATTGTGGTTCTCAGTTACTTTCTTTGGAGATCTACGGAAATCTTCATACTCACCGCTGTGAGAACCTCAAGTCTTACATCTATTTAGATTGTTTACTAAATTTTGTTGTAATGAAATAGTAGTAGTTGTAGTTTATGTGTCTGCACACCTTTATTTGTCGGCTCTGTTTGAGTCTTACACGTAGCCTATATATCAGCACTTGCACATCTTACCGGATCAGATTTCACTGCGAGCTTGTCTTAGTCGTTAGGCGCGAAGTATCGAGTGGGCTGGACTAGTGGTGACGCGAACCAGATATCGGCCAGGGACCGTATGTGGTGAATCACTTTGCCGTGTTTCAGCTAAGTTACTTCAGCTAAATGATAGAACATTGCCCTAAAATAAGCCTTAACCTTTTTCTCCCTACCCGCTGCTGATTACAGTTCATAACGTCTATGTTCTCATTAGACGTAAAATAAATCTCGCACCTAACATAACGCAATAAAATTATCAATAGAAAACTAGCAGCCGCGACACTTTTGCCAGATGATAATGAGGATCTAGTATTCGCAATTTATAAGCCGCAGTTATACGAAGAACCATTTAGAACGTGAATCGACGGAGATATCAGTGCTGGAGCGAGACATGACCTTAATTTATCTAGTGCCACTTGGGCCCGCTGCTTCCTGAAATGCAGAATCGTGGTAATTTATCGAGTCGTAAGGAGATAAGCCTCTGCTGAGAACGAGCAGCGGTGGAAATTTCAACGCCAGAGTAGGACACGAACTTAATTTCCCAGTCTAAAGAGTTCAGCCAGTCAACTTTCTGAGAAAAGAACTCTCCGGAACCATTGAACAAGAGACCTTAGAGCCACTGTGGATTGGGGGGGGGGGGGTTGAAAGAAAATTCCTGTCGCTGTGTTGGGGTGTCTAGTCCGTAGCCCATCACTTTATTGACTGAGTTTCATTTTCGAAAATGAGGAAAATAAACCTACTTATCGTCTTAATATAAGTGCGTGTTATTGTATTAGGGCTTTTATAATGAAGGTGGTGTAGGAGGATGTTAAGGTGCAAACGTGTGATTTGGCTGCATGTCTGTGGGTCATGTGTCAAGAGAGAGTCCCCACGCTGCAGAGAAAGCTCGTCCCACTGCATTCCTCAGTCTGCTGAATGTATTTTGGAAAATTAGTGTGGAAGAGGTTTTTGTCCGAAGTAGTTAGCATTAGACGCTGGGACCATCTGTTGAATCTTGCGATCGGGCAGATAGCAGACGTGGCGAGTCATATGTTCGTGCGCACATCATCATGTAAAGACGCGGACGAATTGAGCTCGTTCCTCAAATAAAATGTCTCCATTACAATTATCAGTTGGTTAATGCTGTTTAGGGAAATGATCACTGATAGTCTACGAATCATATGAAGCTCATAATTACATTCTGCGGGATGATTATTAAAGCAGGTGCTGCATAGCCTATAATTACCACTGGGGTTTAAAAGATTGATGTTATATATTTTTCAGCGACAGCTTAAGAAGCTATATTCACGCTGGGCTGCTTCACAGCCGTGGTGTAATAAATGAGCGGTTTTCACAGTCAACTGGAGAGAGATTATGCCCGTCATAGTTGGCGCTTGCGTAACAAGCATTGCTTCTGAATGGGGTTAGTGTTCCAGGCTGACCGTGTCGACACCCTACCTTGTTTCACATGTTTGTTATATTCTCCAAACACCTGTAACGTATTCTTCTGTTGTGCACAAATGCCCTCATGTGAGCTACCTTCTCGGCAAGGGACGTCTGTACTCCGCTTGAAAGTAGGTCAGTGTCCGGTGCATGACAGAGAAACAAAATGATAACGTAATATCCAAAAGAATGCGACATTCAAAAGCACATCGTACTTGTAAAATGGACTGGACCTGCTAAATTGTCAGGCCTACAATTCGTAGTCCATTGTGTTGAGGCGAAGCGCGAATTGAAATAAGTTTTAGACGTTTTGCGAGATAATATTCTCTTGAAATTCTGAGTAAAATGAATTAAATAAAAAATTCATGTTTTCCAAGAAATTCGTTACAATGTTACAGCTTCTAAACAGCTGTAATATATACATACCGTAACAAGATCTATTTTTTTTTGCAAACCTTGAACGTCAGATTCATACTTTGAACTTCATTACGTCACAGTATGGCCACACGTGTGTCTAAAGAATGTGTATTCAGACAGGCATTTGAACTAAATTCGTAAGGCAGAAGTAGGTAGTCCACACCTTTGTGTTGATGTTGCACAGGCCTTGCCCTTGGCTGCCCTTGTCTGAAATCAGTTCCTGCAGATGATTTCCTGGGTTGTACAAGTATTGTAGCGTTCAGACCTGCGGTTTCTGAAATCCCTTTCTTCAAGGATGATTTAAGATAGTGTAGTTGCGTCATATTGTGACTTATTAAATTATTTTTTACAATTTTTCGTAGTGTAGTTTTTTGGAGGTCGTGTCCAGATATTTTCATATAATG